GATAAGAATAAGTGTAACAGAGATCAATTTTGTTAGATTAAGTCATTAAGAAGAGCATTGTTAACATTGGAAAAATAATTTTATGCTTTGTTTACTTGTTTCTCCATATTTTTGATAACAGAGTCGGTCGGGGGGGGGGGGGGGGGAGTGTGTTGTAAACAAGACAGGACTGGGCCGTAGCTCGAGAACGCGTGACAAATAGGCGTTAGAGATTTTGTATATCGGCTTATTCAATCATTCAGTGGTTCTCTTTTATCTAGTTCGGAACAGTTTACAGATCTCCGAAAGGATCTCAAGTTTTAGGAGTCAGTCTTATACGCAAAATTATCTGTTATCAGAATAAAGAGTATGGTCATTTCATCAAGAAGTTATGAATGGCTTTTTAGAAGATCACAAAGCATACGGCCACACGCTCATGAAGGAAAGGCTTAAGGAGTATTTTGGCGATCAAATAATTATCGCTGATACTAACTGGAAGTCAAATGTAGTGACTTTACGAAGCACTGCAGAATGTGTTTTGCAAGAACTTCATGATCGCCAGGAAGATTATCCAGACATGGAAAAAATACATCTTATTAAAAAAGCTGCTAAGCTAATAAGGAATGACATTAAATCAGTAGGAACTTCAAACGAACATTATCCACCATCCTGCGAAATTGAAAGTCAAGAAAAGAGTTACAATTTTCTTCCAATATCTGTCAACGTTTTTTTAGAGGGAATCATCATGGGAAAGGATGTGAACCTAAAACGAGCATCAATCGGACAAGTTATCTGGCAAGCAGCTCGCCCTCGAGTTTTACTTGCACCGTTGCAGATTGGATTGGATGTACAACTTCATCACCACTTTGCCTCACAAATTGCTCATTGACTCGCTCCATCGTCTTGGGTTCTGCTGTTCTTACCAGGAAGTTCAAACGTTTGGAAAAAATGCAGCTGTGACTCAAGGAACTGGCATACCTAATCACACTTCTGAATTTGCTCGATACGTGGCAGACAATGTTGATCATAATGTAAGAACATTGGACGGAAATGACACATTTCACGGGATGGGGTTAATAGCTACTGTTACCCCTGGTGCAAAACAAACGCAAGTTATTTTAAGAAGAAAGGTTAATCCAACAGAGGTATTAGCATGTGGACAAATTCAAATTCAGTACCAAAGGTTAGAAGGCAATGCTGAAGTTAAAATCAGATACCGAGACGTCTGTATTAGGAAAGCCACTGATCCAACAACTAATCTAGACGTACTTTGGAAAACATCGCTCCTATTTGGTGTATCAAGACCGGCCTTGTCTGGCATTTTCTTTGTGGGCGCCGTATTCATATTCATAGACTTCCAGAAGGCGTTTGATTGCTTTTCACACTCAATTCTTCTCCACAAGCTAGAGCACAACTTTGGAATCACGGGAAAAATACTGGCATGGCTAAGAGATTATCTATCTGATCGGGAGCAGTATACTGTAATTAATGGCGTACCCTCTGAGAATACCAAAGTTGCACACGGTATACCACAGGGCTCCGTACTCGGGTCCATACTCTTCGCCTTGTACACAAGCGATCTACCGAAAGCAGTTAACACTGCAACGACGTTCCTGTATGCAGATGATACTACCATGTACTGTGTTGGTGAATCCGTAGACCAGGTCACAACAACGCTGAACAAAGCTCTAGAAGAACTCGCCCTCTGGTGCAAACATAACTCCCTGGTATCACACCCCAAAAAGTGCGAGGGAATGATCCTTAAACGAAATCATTTTATCGGTCCCTTAGGCAGTTTAAAAATTAACCAGCATCTCATAGAATGGTCCTCAAGTTCTAAGCTGTTAGGTGTAACCATTCACAACAAGCTTACGTGGACAAAACACATATCAGAGCTCAAGAGAGGGTTCGTTAAAAAGCTCAATCTAATCAAACGCAGCCGCTTTTTACCCAGGAATTCGCTTTTAGATCTGTATTTTAAAGTCATTTTACCCTCGGTTACATATGCGTTACCAATTTGGGGGTGTTGTACAAATAAAAATGAATTTAATTCTTTGGAATCCATACATTGTAGGGCTGCTAGAGTTATATATAACCTCCCGCGCGACATGCCCTCTGAGGATGTAAGACAAACAGCTAACTGGGACTCTTTATTCGACACTTATAAGGTCAAAATAGCCACCTTAATTTTTAATATATACAACCGCAGAACTTCATCATGCTTGGAACATATAATCCAAAGGAAAGAGTCTAAGTATGACCTCCGTCATCAACATCGTGTTAGCGTACAACGTTTTGAAACTTATTGTATGAAAAACTCTATTTCTTACTGAGGATCCATTGTTTGGAATCTTTTAGCTACCATCCGCTATCAGCGCCAGGGAATATACCAAAAGGGCAAAAAAGTCTCACGCCCTCAGAAACTTGAACTTTAATGAAGAGTCACCTCAAATGGGTCGTCCCCAAATTGACAGTGATTTCGTCTTTTATTAACTCTATTCATATCTTTTATTGTACATATTTCACCTTTTATTGACTACATTCAATTTTAATAATTTTTATTATTTTATTTTATTGACATTTTTGACACGGCCCCATAAGCTATATTAGCTTTAAACCCCACCATGTTTAAATAAAAGATGTTGTTTTTGTTGTTGTCTAGGCAATCATCCTGGTCAATCATCTGCAGTCTTTCTTTCAATGATAAACATGAGCTCAAGTAACACTACATGCATCTTCTCCACACTGAAGTTTATTTCAGAACACGCTCGACATCATAAAGTGCTCTGTATGCAGATTTAATGGCTAGAAAGAAAGGAAGAAGCGGAAGAAGTCAGCTCAGCCATTGCAATTAGTAAGATCAAACATCTGCTCCAACAACAGAAGGAATCCCTTCAAGACAATCGCACTGCCAGACTCTGGTTGCAGAACATGGACATGGTCGCTATTATGAGAAAATCCATCAAAGCAGAACGCACTGGACACTGGGTACGGCGTCTTGAATCTCTTTCTGAAATGCTTCCCTATATGGCAGCTGGTCACAACCTTTACACCAAATCTGCTCAGTTGTACCTGCAGTCCATGGTACGTCTAGAGAGTGAACATCCTGTTGTGTACCAGAAACTAATTGATGGATTCCACGTGGTAAGAAGAAGTGACCGTAAATGGGCGGGGCTGTCCAAAGACCTTGTTATTGAGCAGGTGTTAATGAGAAGCATGAAGACTAGTGGCGGCTTAACGAGAGGAAGAGGGATGACAGAGCAACAACTGGTGAGATAAATCGTGCCATGCTGGATCTCACAGGCGTCTCTTACAGTACCAGTGAGCAAAATAAGGACATTTCAGAGTCCAGAAAAAACCGTGACATGAAAGATACCAAAACGCTGCTAAACGCCTTAGCTGAGCAAAATAAGTTCACTGCTCAAAAAGGCCTAAGAAACATCATGAATGGTGTCCATGCAAATGATACTGTAAATGTTGATGACGCTAAGGATATTGGACAGGGCATCTTAGCGTCAATTGACTGGAACGTTTGTCATGGAATTTGCCTTAAAACGAAGCAATCAGGCTGTGACTCTTGCTACAAAGTCATCAGTTAAATTTGATGGAGAGAAGATCCAAGTAGACCCGCAGCTTCTATTCCAGCGTCTAATTGTAGCTCTGAAATCACTGGATGACATGAAAGCATTTTCAAGTTTGAGCTGTGCAGCTATCCACCTGCTCTCTTTGATTCTTCACTTACGTTGCTCCAACCACACAAGCCAGCCCTTGCTGATGCTATTTGGGCTATGACTCTGGAAAGCTCAGATGTCACAGCTCCTCTGCATGGCGTTGCACTCATTCACGGAATCCCTTGGCCGCGAGGGTGTACCCGAAATGTATGTGCGTTGCCTGCAATTATGTGGACCAGAAGTATGGAAAAGCAATCATTGCCTTTGATGGACACACAAGCACATCCACAAAGACATGACACAGGAAAGACGGACAGGCGGGGAAGGAGGTGCAACTGGCAAACAAAACAATAAACAGTCCTTCATTAATATGCTTAGTCGTTATCTTCAGCAGGCCAATTGCCAGGTCTACCACTCGACAGCTGATGCTGATTTGCTCATGGTAAACAAAGCTGTGGAAAGTGCAAGAACCATGGACACCGTTCTGGTGGGGGATGACACTGACCTTCTTATTCTACTCTGTCATCATGCAGAGTTAGATGCATTCGACCTTTTTTCCAGCCGGAACCAAGAGCAACTTCCACTAAGCGTCGATCCAGGAATGTAAAGTCAGTGAAGGAAAAGCTTCGTCAAGAGATTTGTCGTCATATTCTTTTTATCCATGCTATTAGCTATAAAGTGGATAATTGGCAAAGGTCTTCCACTAAAGAAGTTTGTCAGCGACACCCACTTTCGCGAACACGTCAAGGTGTTTGACAGTCTTCCAGTGTCAAAGGAACAAATTGTCAAGGCTGATGAGCTACTCATTGTTTGTCTTTACAATTGGAAGCCTGAAGAAGGACTTGATGGATTGCGATTACGTCACTATTGTGAAAAGGTGTCCACTGGTACTTCCCAGATTCAGCCACAAAGCCTAGCCTCTACTTTTGCTGCTGCGTCATACCACAGCATGAGAGTCTACCACCAATTTATCTAGTGGAAGGTCAAAGAGAAACAAGTAACTGCTGAAGAATGGGGTTGGAGATTGAATGATGATGACCAACTGGTACCTATCATGACCCATCTTTAGCCAGCACCAGAATATTTGTTGCGTGATGTGAGGTGCAACTGCTTGCCTGATTGTAGTAGCATGCGATGCATATGTAAAAAACATGATCTTGAGTGTTCAGCTGCATGTGGACACTGTCGAGGCACTAGTTGCACTTATGCTGCAGCACTCGATTTCGACGACGATTTAGATGAAGATGAAGATGAAAATGATTGAAGGTCCAAAGGTTTTTTTACTGTTGCAAATTTGCTTATCAAAGTTCCGATGAGAAAAAAACTAATTCATCGCTCAAAATAGCGTTTTTTCTATCGCAAATAGAATTCAGCCTCATTTTCATGTAACTGATTAAGGCCATTATAATTGAACTGAATTTAAGTATCTTCCCATGCATAGATTTTCCTAGACTTTTAATATGCATATTAAAGAGTCTTTTTTAGTTCAAAACTGAAGAAAAACTTCTGTTGCAGTTAGTGACAGGTCCTATCAGTACATTGACTGGACTATAGCGCTATTCAACGTTTGAACAATCGGGGGCCTTTTTTGCAATGTAAATGAAGTGTGTTTACAGTTTTTATCAGACTTCTAAGCGGTCACTTGCTAGTAAAAAAAAAGACCTTACGATAAAGTGCCAAGTAAATAGGATGTCTTTTTTAAATGGTGATCCAATGTCGACCAATGTCAACACCGAAAAGAGACATGTCTGCTGTCATATGGTCAAACATTTCTTTTAGTATCCGACAAACATGTTGCTGGTGTAGGTAGCACCTGTCTTTTTGGGTCTCAATCCTGAACTCGTTCTGAGCAGTATATTGCGTTGATCTTCCTAGTTCTGTATCTTGCGACAAATTTCCACCGGCGGGTGTTTGTAAGGCGGTCTACCCAGAGTGGGAAGTGTGCTACTAAGAGGTTGAATTTCTTATTTTCTACTACTTTTAAGAAGGAAATCTATAACATATGCGAATTAACAAAAACCTTGATAACTTAATATCCTGGCTAATTGAAATGTTACCGCCCTTACTGAAAACTAAACATCGACAATCGTAAAGAACAACCCGTCGTAAACTTGTGTACGCACTAATAATGCACAAAAAGCTAAACAAAGAGCTTTAAAACCGAACAAAAGAGCCACGATTATTAACCAAATGAATTGAGCTGCCGGCTCTAAATGATATAGGTTTATTTGCAATCATCTGTAAATTGCTGGGTACAAAAAAATTGTTTTTGAAATAGTGTATTAAAACTAAAGAAACAGCTGTAAACTGATCCGTAGTTTGCTGCTGTTTCTATAAACAGTGTACAAAGTCACGAAGTCACGGGCCATTTTTGCCCGGCCAAATATGTTTCTCCTAACATGATGTTCTGTTCTATAATGTATTTTCCCACATACATTGTAATTAATATTGGAAAGGAACAAAATAATGAACATTTTAGACTACTTTAGAAACTGTTGATAAAACATTGTTAACTGACCTACACATCGAAAACACAGGTGCAAGCAAAGGAAGGCCGGAATCAGGAAGAGAAACCCGTCAGGCGCCTACACCTCAGAAATTAAGTTAATGGGTTTCAAACGTCACAACTCATTATTAAACACAGTTTATGCCTCAACTGTCTGCATCATTAACTTAATTCCGTGCTGCTTATTCAGTGATAATTAAGAAAAGGAAACCAGTGGCTGCCGGGAATTGAGCAAAAGTTTTTAAAAAAACATTTTCAGCAAATAGGGGTGTGGATCATGTACTGAAACGGTGCTTTTTTCCGAAGGAACTTCTGAATCAAACACGTACGGGGGAACTTCCTTGACTTCATGTGCCTGTCGCAAACTGAAGTTGGCTTCGTTTTGAGATCAGTCAGCCATAACTGGACTTGTGAGTGAAGGTAAGAAACGACCGTAGTAAACCGGGAAATCGATGAGACATCCAACAAAATATTAAGCGGCAGTATAATTTAGAAACCGTGATGTGAACAACTACGATAAAACTTAGAAAACCCTTAAATAATTTTCCAGCGGGCAGCAGAGTTCTCGGATCGTGAAGTTATCTAGTTGCTGAACAGTTTTTAAAAACGTGAATTTTCTCCTTCTGTAAGAGATGCTTACATTAGCCATCTAGAAGACAATGGACTCTGGAGCTCCTACATACACACTTACGACGTAAGCATGAAAGCAAGGCCTAAAGGCGACATCGCAGTTAAATGTGGCATGCAGAAGCGCATCCTAAAACGTCGTCAAAAAATAGTTGTCACTGACAATGCTACTCCGTTGCGCTTTGTAATAATTGTTCCGATAATAGGACAGACTTGATGCTTCATATATCTAATTCCGAATGATTCTTGCTGGAGGTTAGTTTTTCCACTGACCAATTTTTTAAAGCATGTTCATTTCAGGGGCACCTAACATCGGTTTCCTCCTAAAAACATTGATAACGGTTTTTAGGCTATTTAGAGTACTTTTAGATGTCTGTCTAGAATGCATTCTAGGCCTCGCTTTCATGCTTTCGTCGAAAGTCTGTAGATTTTGTTTTATTACCACAAAACCTTTTGACTACTTGGTTGATTGTTCCAGGTTTTCACTAGAGCTGTGTCTCAAGTTACAGAAAAGATCAAGAATATTTAGTAACAACCTAAAAACGCGCACCTTAAGAGCCAGTGTCGGAAAATATCGAGAATCTCAAATCAGTTCAGAATCTAAAAATTCGAATTTTGGCTAATACCACCCAAACAACCGTTTACGTGAACTATTTCAAGAAATGATATTAAGAAATCCCCAAGCGCTTTACGTTTTGAGAAATTTGGAAAAATTCGAAAATTCGATAAAAATACTTTTTTTTTCCGCGAAATTGCTGCAAATTTCAACAATTTTCAAGGAAGCAGCACAAGCGCGCAAAAGCTCCTATTGACTTGTTGTTCCACATGTATTTACCAGTTACTCAAAGCTTTAAGACTGCATAAAAATGTCTCGCAAAATAACTTTTGTAATATAGGTTTGGGCTTTCATTGCTTGCACCTTGATTACGTGCTGTGTTGGCCGTCGAAATAACGCCCAACTTTAACCGCAAAAAGTCGGTTCTGGTATTTCTCAAATATAAAATATGATTATACTACATAAAAGAGCTGTGATTCTTTTAACTAGATCTGAAGTTTCAGCTCTGGGAATATAAACGCTCGCAAAAAATAAAATTTTAAATATAGCCACTTGGGCCACCGTAAGCGACAGGAACGTGAAATGTGAACAAAGCGTAAACCGTCTACACAAAGGAGAAAAATCATACCAAAGTTATTTCTAGCCCACCAAAGCGTTAAGAAATGAGGGAAATGTCGGCATCTGAATAGGTATTGTTCTCTGAAAAGCTAAAAAGGCGAAATTGTCTAAAGAAAAGAAAGAAAATCCTGAAAAATGAGCAACTGAGAATCGCGTCTGGTGACCATTTTTAAATAGACCTTTTCACGGTTTTCGACGCCACCTTGACGAGTACTAGGCAAACGCGTGAGAAATTACAGCTAAATTACAGTGTTTGTATGAGAATCTAATGTCGAATGATTTCCGTAAAACGGCTGTTCCGGAAAAAATATGACTTGTAAATTAAAGCTACAAAACAAGGGATTGTACGTAAATTTTTTTTTGGGCGTACCTGTGCTTAAATTTCTTCAAAGGCTTACTTTAGATTTTCCATATATTTGTCTCTAATTTTTCCCGGGACTTTCTTACAGACAATCGATAGAAAATTTTAAAAAGTGGTTCCAGGTCTTCTAGCGCATCTAACGCCCTCAATTTTTTTTTTCAGAACCGGCATTCTACGGAAATTATTCGACATTAGATTCTCATACAAACACTGTAATTTCTCACGCGTTTGCCTACTCGTCAAGATGGCGTCGAAAACCGTGACAAGGTCTATTCTGAACTCGGAAGTAAAAGTGCTTTTAGCTGATCAAGTCCAAAAAGGTTCAAGAGCTGTTTTCAAAATGCCCCAATAAACTATCGACAAACTAGGTCAGATGATAGATTTACTTAGTAAAAATGAACATAACAAGAAGTCGGAATCATGATTACAAATGACACTTCTACAAAATGAGTTTTAAACGCAAGTCCTGGATTTTTACAAAGTTACCTTTCAGTGTCAATTTTTTCTCTTGATGCAAGGCTCTGCAGCTCACCTTCATAACATGACCTAGCAAATAACTGAAATTTCAACATTCTGCTGATTTGTAAAACGGTTGCGGCCTAAAGTTAGTTCCTAAAAGAGACGTTTGACCTGGTGTCATGATAGGTGTATGGTAATTTGAATAAATTACCCTGGAGCCCCTTCACGCAATCTTCCACAGGGTACACGTGACAAATGCTATCACCTTTAGCTCTGAAAGCGTGTGGAGAAAATGTTGTGTAGTTTTTCGACTCTTGTTGATGGCAATTTTTGCATTCGGTGTTAATGGGGAATATTCTTGTTAATCCGAATTTATTTATCTAATGATCTTAGAGGACGTTTAATGGTGATCATTTTCATGACACTGCTACAACAGGTGACACTGAATTCCTGCCGGACTTAGTGATTCATACAAAGGAGCGCCGACTTATTTTAGGTTTACCTTTAATAAGTAAAATATTTAGCTCCAGTAACCGAGGTTGAATATAAATTTTTTACCCATATTTTCTCCCAACAAATTCATCCTACTCTAACCTCAAGGGCTACTTTTGTCTTCTTTTGTCAAAGGTGAAAGCAAGACTTTTGATTCAATTTTTGAGACGACATCAAGGAATAGCTTAATTAGGATAGAGGTGAGCGCCCTTTGAATATATCTCCATTGCAGATCTTTGAGGATTTGAAGTCATTCTTTAAAGTTCACCTGCTAACTTTTCTCTTTCAACCAAGCAATCCTTGCTTACTCAGCGAATTCTTTTCATAGGTAGCCGAGCCTGAAAGAAGACGGGAATTGAAAAGAAAAATCCACGATGTTTTCCTCATCCGAGTGCATTATCTGGTTTGCTGCATACCTTGTCGTGGCTGTTGCTATAGTAACAGTGAATCTCCTATCAATCATTCTTTTTATAACAAACAGTAATCTTCGCACTCGTGGCATGTACTTGGTTATAAACTTGACCGTAGTTGACATTTTGGTTGGAGGACTTTCTACTTTTCATCTTCTCTTAATTAATACACAGTTGGAATGCAAAACTGTCATTGTAAGGTTACCTCGGGAAGGGAGTATTTTAGTGTACTTTGTTTTCTTTTGGTTTCCTCTTTCTTCTCTTACAAACATAACTGTAATTTCGTTAGAGCGGATGCATGCGACATTTCGTCCATTCAGTCATCGCGTTGTCAAAAAATGGGTCTACGGGGTTACAATTTGTGTGGTCTGGGTTTTAGCTGGAATGATATCAACTGCCACTATGTTGCTTAGTTTTTTCGTCAAAAATAACTCACTATTTCAGTATTTATGGCAATCATATTGCTTATTATGCCTTTTTGTTACCTGTGCTTGTTACGCCTCGATTATTGTCAAAATTTGTTGTGGGGCGCGTCCTCAGCACCATGGTGCAGCCCGTAGGCAAAGAAAACTGACTGTCACGTTACTCATCATGACTACTGTATCGTTACTGTTGTGGCTGCCATACGCTATAGCTACCTTTGTTTATTATACAACTGATAGCATTCGATCACTTTCTTACACAAAAAGAATGCGATTGAATATTTATTTACTGCTTTTATTTTATACAAACTCCTTTGTTAATCCCGTGGTTTACACAATAAGAATGCCCGAGTACAGGAAAGCTCTCCTGTTATTATGTACACGTCGGCAAAGACAAAATGCTGCTGCTGCTATTCCTCTTCATGCTCGTTAAGGTACTTTGGGTAAAACGTTCGATTGCAAGTGATCGCAGGTTCAGCTTTAGATGATGATGATTTTCTCAATTTGGGTCGATGAAAATACGATAGTATAGATACATAAGATGCTATGATTTGAGTTCCCCATAATACACTAGCTGTTTGCCCCCTTTCTGCATAAACTATTGGGAGGACTGAATATTTCCTGAAGAGCTTTTGAAAGTAAGAACTTATGCAAAATTTGAGAACAAACAGAGACGGTGTATTATGAGGGATTCGAAAAAAGTAAATATACATATCAGTTTTCGTGTATAACTTGTCAAGCTCGTTAATGGTCTATAGCTGGAATTTGAAATGGTTTGAAATGTGTTTCTACGGAAATTATTCGACATTAGATTCTCATACAAACACTGTAATTTCTCACGCGTTTGCCTACTCGTCAAGATGGCGTCGAAAACCGTGACAAGGTCTATTCTGAACTCGGAAGTAAAAGTGCTTTTAGCTGATCAAGTCCAAAAAGGTTCAAGAGCTGTTTTCAAAATGCCCCAATAAACTATCGACAAACTAGGTCAGATGATAGATTTACTTAGTAAAAATGAACATAACAAGAAGTCGGAATCATGATTACAAATGACACTTCTACAAAATGAGTTTTAAACGCAAGTCCTGGATTTTTACAAAGTTACCTTTCAGTGTCAATTTTTTCTCTTGATGCAAGGCTCTGCAGCTCACCTTCATAACATGACCTAGCAAATAACTGAAATTTCAACATTCTGCTGATTTGTAAAACGGTTGCGGCCTAAAGTTAGTTCCTAAAAGAGACGTTTGACCTGGTGTCATGATAGGTGTATGGTAATTTGAATAAATTACCCTGGAGCCCCTTCACGCAATCTTCCACAGGGTACACGTGACAAATGCTATCACCTTTAGCTCTGAAAGCGTGTGGAGAAAATGTTGTGTAGTTTTTCGACTCTTGTTGATGGCAATTTTTGCATTCGGTGTTAATGGGGAATATTCTTGTTAATCCGAATTTATTTATCTAATGATCTTAGAGGACGTTTAATGGTGATCATTTTCATGACACTGCTACAACAGGTGACACTGAATTCCTGCCGGACTTAGTGATTCATACAAAGGAGCGCCGACTTATTTTAGGTTTACCTTTAATAAGTAAAATATTTAGCTCCAGTAACCGAGGTTGAATATAAATTTTTTACCCATATTTTCTCCCAACAAATTCATCCTACTCTAACCTCAAGGGCTACTTTTGTCTTCTTTTGTCAAAGGTGAAAGCAAGACTTTTGATTCAATTTTTGAGACGACATCAAGGAATAGCTTAATTAGGATAGAGGTGAGCGCCCTTTGAATATATCTCCATTGCAGATCTTTGAGGATTTGAAGTCATTCTTTAAAGTTCACCTGCTAACTTTTCTCTTTCAACCAAGCAATCCTTGCTTACTCAGCGAATTCTTTTCATAGGTAGCCGAGCCTGAAAGAAGACGGGAATTGAAAAGAAAAATCCACGATGTTTTCCTCATCCGAGTGCATTATCTGGTTTGCTGCATACCTTGTCGTGGCTGTTGCTATAGTAACAGTGAATCTCCTATCAATCATTCTTTTTATAACAAACAGTAATCTTCGCACTCGTGGCATGTACTTGGTTATAAACTTGACCGTAGTTGACATTTTGGTTGGAGGACTTTCTACTTTTCATCTTCTCTTAATTAATACACAGTTGGAATGCAAAACTGTCATTGTAAGGTTACCTCGGGAAGGGAGTATTTTAGTGTACTTTGTTTTCTTTTGGTTTCCTCTTTCTTCTCTTACAAACATAACTGTAATTTCGTTAGAGCGGATGCATGCGACATTTCGTCCATTCAGTCATCGCGTTGTCAAAAAATGGGTCTACGGGGTTACAATTTGTGTGGTCTGGGTTTTAGCTGGAATGATATCAACTGCCACTATGTTGCTTAGTTTTTTCGTCAAAAATAACTCACTATTTCAGTATTTATGGCAATCATATTGCTTATTATGCCTTTTTGTTACCTGTGCTTGTTACGCCTCGATTATTGTCAAAATTTGTTGTGGGGCGCGTCCTCAGCACCATGGTGCAGCCCGTAGGCAAAGAAAACTGACTGTCACGTTACTCATCATGACTACTGTATCGTTACTGTTGTGGCTGCCATACGCTATAGCTACCTTTGTTTATTATACAACTGATAGCATTCGATCACTTTCTTACACAAAAAGAATGCGATTGAATATTTATTTACTGCTTTTATTTTATACAAACTCCTTTGTTAATCCCGTGGTTTACACAATAAGAATGCCCGAGTACAGGAAAGCTCTCCTGTTATTATGTACACGTCGGCAAAGACAAAATGCTGCTGCTGCTATTCCTCTTCATGCTCGTTAAGGTACTTTGGGTAAAACGTTCGATTGCAAGTGATCGCAGGTTCAGCTTTAGATGATGATGATTTTCTCAATTTGGGTCGATGAAAATACGATAGTATAGATACATAAGATGCTATGATTTGAGTTCCCCATAATACACTAGCTGTTTGCCCCCTTTCTGCATAAACTATTGGGAGGACTGAATATTTCCTGAAGAGCTTTTGAAAGTAAGAACTTATGCAAAATTTGAGAACAAACAGAGACGGTGTATTATGAGGGATTCGAAAAAAGTAAATATACATATCAGTTTTCGTGTATAACTTGTCAAGCTCGTTAATGGTCTATAGCTGGAATTTGAAATGGTTTGAAATGTGTTTCAGAACTTTAAAGTAGATCATGCACGGCTACAATGACAATTTGTAATAAGCCGTGTCGAACTTTGCATAACTTATGAAAACTTATGCATAACTTATGCAAAATTTTTACCTTCCTCTCGCTTGCCCCATCCTAGCTGTATTCAGTCTTATTATAATTATAGTTTGTAGATATTCATTGTAGGGATATTTTATAATTATAAAATAGTTTTTACTCTTTTTAGTCTTATTGATATATATATATTAAAAGTTCTTTTTCTTTAACGATATTTATTTTTGGTTACTTAATTTTTGTTATATAATTTTAGTTTGAGGGCCACTAGTTATTCAGTTGAAGTACTGTCCCGTGTTACCCTTGTTAAATAAAGTTGATTATTATTATTATTATTATTATTATTATTATTATTATTATTATTAAAATGCTGTCGCATACAATTTGTAATAAACTAACCTGTCGAGTTTTCCGTTACTATTTTCATTATTCTTAAACCTGGTTTACTTACAGGGGCTGCGTCACGGCAGTCCTGTTCATTTTGTTTAATTTTGCCAATTGCTCGCCCGCAATCGGGGGGCTATGGAACTTTAATAATGTAAGCAAAGAAAGTACATGTGATCGAATGACAAAATCAGAGATTCGAGACAAATAAATATGTCTCTTGATCAATATTTTTGAAGTTGCAAACAGCAGAGATCAACTTTGAAAAACTGTTGGGCTGAACAGTTTTCAAAAACCCTAATTTCATGCAATCCATGTAATACAGTTGTGGTAATCGTAGTTCCATATCTTTGTTAATTGCGAGGTAGTTAGTGTTCAAACTTGGAAGGTATTGGCCATAAAAAAAAAAAAACATAACAATTGAGCCACTTTTGAATCCATCATCAGGACGACGGTCACCATGATTTTCTCGTCGATAGCCTTGTACAGGAGACAAGTGAAAAGAATCCCCTAATCAGGGCCCGCGCAGCAGTTTTTCAAAAGTGTGGGGACCACTGGATGAAAGTGCGTAAAGAAGCCAAATGGGGGGATTGTCCGAGGACGTCTCTATACTCAACGACAAAAGAGTGTCAAAAGAATCTTGTGATACGATTAACAGATTTCTTCTGGCAAATTAAAGAACGAATTGATATCATCACCGAAAAGCTGAATGCAGTGTGTTTTCCACATTTCGAGAAACAGCCTAAAATTCATGTCGTTGGTTTCCAGCATGCCGATTCACTTCGAGCGCCTGACTAATTGGCGAGTGGATTGCAGGCGGGATTTTGTAGGATATTAAATAGCGTGGGAAATGGTAATTTTTTTCTTCCGACTATCTAGTTATGAAAATCCTTTTTATTCACAAAACTGGCGAGAGTGTATGATACAGAAACCAAAACTGATACAAAAAAGAAAAAAGAAAGAATACATTTTTTAATTTGTTTCGGCTTGTCACCGCTTTTCGCAACTTAACTAAATAACACTATAACATTTGTAGTGTTTTCCAAGATCGATTAAGTCTGTCAGTCCTGGAATCAGAACAGACCGATTATCATATATTTCATTTTTTTTTCCCGCGAGGTCTGTCACCCAAACACTAACCTGTGAGAGCAGAGGCTACAAGCAGCTTATTAAAATTAATTTCGGTACGCCAGTTCATATGGAGAAAAAGCAGCCTCTGTTCACAAGCCAAATAAAAATGGCTTCGCTCGCCCTTTAAACCCTAAGATCAAAATTTGAATTCTCATTTGTTATCCCTATTCATTTCCTACAGAAGTAGTGGGGAGAAGTTGATAAAATATCAATCAAATTCATCTTGTGTGATCATGTCCGTAATTCTCATGACAACTCTGTTTTACAAAGCATTGATATTACAAGATGAAATTTGATGCTGATCACTCTTAGGGCTTAAACCGGGTTAACGCCCGTTACAACGAGTCTTTTTTTTGCCCTTTTGTGTGACTTATGTTAAAACTAATTTAAGCGGCGACTTAAGCCGCAATTTTATTGAAAGCAATTTTTGAAGGTTGCATAACGAAGTGCATAAAACTTTTACTGGCTCAGCTCTACGTCTCGACACGTCGCCACCCCCAGCGCAAATACTAATCATAACTGACTCACTAAGTTAAACGATAAATCAGGATAACTCCTGTAAGGGTATGGTAACGATTAACGAATTCAAACGACTGGATTAATTTTTAACTGAGTGATACATTATATCTACTACACGTTTTGTGGCTGGCCTGTTATAGCTCATCGCGGACTTTTAAAAGTCACTTAACAATTTAGTCAGTTCACTAAAACCGTTAGAAAAGTAGGAAACATTCAGCTTGCAAACATCACGCTCTTTTCTTCTGTCGGCGGGTTATGGGAGGGAGAACTGCTCCTTGTCTGCACACTGTTGCCCTCTCTTCCGTCTTGATTCTAATTATTTCAAGGCAGCTGCCGTGCGTCTGTAGGGTGGCGCCTAGAGGATGCAGTGCAGCTTGCGTGGTAACAGCCATACTGCTGGAAGTCAGCGTAGGAAAAGTTTGCGCTTCGCTCGTAAGGTTATCCTGAAGAGATGTCCTGCGATTCCCAGCAGACAAAGAGCGGAGGGATGGTCAGTGAAGCGGTTCGGTTCCCTTAAGAGTGCTTGACTTCCTGTTTAAAGATATGAAGGTTTCCAAGTTGCCAGAACTTCGTTCGATGCTAGCCGCTTACATTTGGCCAGGGACGTATTATTCTTGCCAGATGTCTCTTCGCTATTTTCCACTGGAGATTTAAGACATGGTGTTATATTGAACTCCTCTTGCAGTGAGGTGTTTTGCCGATTTTTGTGTTGACGTGGCAAATGAAAGAAAACTTTCTCATATGCATGTTTCACTTGTGCCCAGTGCATCTCTGCTTGTCCGCTGATCAATCCCTCCTAGAGGGAAATGTCTGAACCAGTCAGTTGATATCCTGTAAAAGGATGGAAAAAGGTATTTTGAGTTGCTGGCCAATATTACTTCTGAATCAATAGATCAACATACACTTTGTTAAGTATTCAACTGAGTAGAATTAGAACGCATCAAATTATACCTAATCGATTTCAATCAGTTCTCCAAAAAATAAAAAACGAATTAGCAGGACTACTTGTTTAAAAGTCATTATGACTCAAAAACGGAATAAGCTTCTGTCATTTATTATCATAGAACTCTGCTAAAATTTCAAAGCCTTAAAGCAGAAAGGCCTTAGTTTCAGAGGGACGCTATTGTCGATCCACTTACAGCTGATAGGAAAGCAAGTTCTACACGTATCCTTGCTTGAAAATCAGCTGCAAATTAAATACCCATATTGTCTCAAAAGACTCCCTTCTTAGACGAGGCCCTGGGAAAGAGGTTGAGCTGACACCCATTTAATAATCCCAGCTTACTTTTAAGAGAAACAGTTTCTTGCAGAGGGTTTTTAGGGAGGGGACTGTGACGTCTGGGCTCCCCACCCTCTCCTTCTAAGATTGCAAACACTTGGTCATCCTGTAGCACCTTATTCACCAGTGAGCTCAAGACCACAGCTACGTATTGCTCCCATGAAGTGTTTCCATGGTAACGCTGAGTGCCAATCACGCCTACAAGTACGATCCATTCTTTACCCAGGACTTTGCAGCATTCAAGTATATCTGCAAAAAGAGCATGTCAGCTTTATAAGATGCAGCACTTTTACGTCAACTTCACGTTTCCTTTTGATTTGGCTCACAATTTCTTTATAAAAATTATTATAAAGAATGTTTTTGCAAGAAAAAGAGACGACAGACTAAGTTTAATTCAAAAGGATTTGAATAAACCGTTATGAATTTCACCAAAATCTTTCAGCCTCATTAAAGTCTAGGTTTATGAGCACTATACTCACCTAAGCTTGAAGTTCTCACAGCTACTGCACTGGCTTTCTCATTCTTTGTACAATCTCCCTTCTGAAATACTTTGCCAACATGGACAGCTTGTTTGCGATACTTGGGTAGTGTCCTGTCATATTTGCCTTTTTCGAACACGTTGATCAAACATTAACTGCACGCTAGGCTTTCAAGTTTCTAGGTTTGGGATTCTTTCGAGCTATCGCTTCTGCCACAATCACGTCCCCGATCTCGTACGGCCTGCTGTAAGGACATTTCCCGAAGCCGAGAAAGATTCCAGCTTTGGGTTTGAGTGATTTGATGTCCTGGACAACTGCAGATGGCTCGCTTGAGCTTTGAGTAAAAACACAAGGCGGGAATTGATTCTGGGTAAACGTACCCAGCCCCTTCTATCAACAGGGCCTTCCGATCTTTCAAAATGCTCGCGATTGCGAGAAATATCAACTCGTTTTCGGCGATCAAAAGCGCTTTAGTTGGGATGCAAACTTTGAACACTGTATTGGACTGCTTTGAACTTTATCAGAAGCTGAAAACACGTTTCAGGAAAGGAGGATTTAATATGAGGAAGTGGGCGTCAAACAGCGAGGAGTTAAACGAATTAATCAACACAGAAGAGACCACTCTGTTATCTGGAAAACCTGCAGTGGAACCAACCAAGTCTGTTGAAACTGAAAATATTGATCAACCAAAGACTACTAGCAGCAATGCCATGAGTGAAGAAACTGTTGTCAAGGTGATGAGTGTTATGTAGGAAAAGTCAGAAGACTGTTTCAAGTTTGACCTCAGCGCGTTCTCTAAGCAGACATTGAGTGGAACGCTAACACAACAAAAACTTTTGAGCGTTACCGCTCGATTCTATGATCCACTAGACTTGCTGTCGCCACGTATTCTGCCATTTAAATGCATGTTTCAAGAAATTTGCCAGCTTAAGGCTGAATGGGATGAAGCTCTTCCGGAAGACCTCACTTCACGTTGGAAGGATAGAAGGAGTTTCAAGTTTAACAATCCCTCGTTGCATCATGGATAGAATAGAAGCAGAGTAGGTCAAATGTATTCAGCTGCACGGGTTTGCGGTCTCATGAGAATGTGAAACGCAATGGAGTTAGAGAAACACTAACTGAACTTCGTAGCACGTTTTGGATAATCAAGGAAAGGCAAGCAGTCAAGGATGTTCTTTTTAAGTGTGTGATTTGCAAGAAGATGCTGGGAAAAGGAAAGAAAAGAAACGCAAGTTATTTTAAGAAGAAAAGGTTAATCCAACAGAGATATCAGCATGTGGACAAATTCAGATTCAGTACCAAAGGTTAGAAGGCAGTGCGGAATTAAAAATCAGATACCGAGACGTCTGTATTAGGAAAGCCACCGATCCAACAACTAATCTAGACGTACTTTGGAAAACATCGCTCCTATTTGGTGTATCAAGACCGGCCTTGTCTTGCATGATGCAATTTGCTCACCGAGGCAGTCATCCTGGTCAATCATCGGTAGTCTTTCTTCCAATGATAAACATGAACTCAAGTAACACTACATGCATCTTCTCCACACTGAAGTTTATTTCAGAACACGCTATACATCATAAAGTGACACCAATTATTACCTTTGATCAGCCACCGTGGTGGAAAGCGTTGATGGTCATAGAGTCTGAGCCTGCGGATAGTGACCTCCGTCAGGTAGTTCTCCGACTTGGAAGTTTTCACACAGAGATGAGTTTCATTGGTAGCATCGGGCACCTAATTGCAGAATCTGGGCTAAAGGAACTTCTTGAATTGATTTATGCACCAAATGCAGTTGAGCACATTCTTACTGGTAAAGCTATCGCAAGAGCCGTAAGAGCTCATCTTCTCGTTGATGCAGTTCTTAATACCCTTATCCTTTCTAAAGCCCTGGGAGTGTCCATTCCTGATCTTGAAGTAGAAGNTCTCCGACTTGGAAGTTTTCACACAGAGATGAGTTTCATTGGTAGCATCGGGCACCTAATTGCAGAATCTGGGCTAAAGGAACTTCTTGAATTGATTTATGCACCAAATGCAGTTGAGCACATTCTTACTGGTAAAGCTATCGCAAGAGCCGTAAGAGCTCATCTTCTCGTTGATGCAGTTCTTAATACCCTTATCCTTTCTAAAGCCCTGGGAGTGTCCATTCCTGATCTTGAAGTAGAAGCTAATACCCCGACATGAATGATGCAAGAGCCAAAGAGGAGGCAATACCAGGTACACCTGCTTTTGAGCTTCAAGAAGCTCATGCTCTGTATGCAGATTTAATGGCTAGAAAGAAATCAGCAGAAGAAGTCAGCTCAGCCAGTGCAATTAGTAAGATCAAACATCTGCTCAAACAGCAGAAGGAATCCCTTCAACACAATCGCACTGCCAAACTCTGGTTGCAGCACATGGACATGGTCGACATTCTGAGAAAATCCATCAAAGCCGAACGCACTGGACACTGGGTATAGCATCTTGAATCTCTTTCTGAAATGCTTCCCTATATGGCAGCTGGTCACAACCTTTACACCAAATCTGATCAGTTGTACCTGTAGTCCATGGTCCGTCTAGAGAGTGAACATCCTCTTGTGTACCAGAAAGTAATTGATGGATTCGACGTGGTAAGAAGAAGTGACCGTAAATGGGCGGGACTGTCTACAGACCTTGTTATTGAGCAGGTGTTAATGAGAAGCAGAGTCCAGAAAAAACCGTGACATGAAAGATACCAAAACGCTACTAAATGCCTTAGCTGAGCAAAATCCGTTCACTTCTCAAAAAGGCCTAAGAAACATCACGAATGGTGTCCATGCAAATGATACTGTAAATGTGGATGACGCTAAGGATATTGGACAGGGCATCTTAGCGTCAATGACTTGAACGTTTGTCACGGAATTTGCCTTCAAACGACGTAATCAGGCTGTGACCCTTGCTACAAAGTCATCAGTTAAATTTGATGGAGAGAAGATCCAAGTCACTTCGATCCCCAGCTTCTATTCCAGCTTCTAATTGTTCTGAAATCATTGGATGACACGGAAGCAATTTTCAAGTTTGAGCTGTGCAGCCATCCACCTGCTCTCTTTGATTCTTCACTTATGTTGCTCCAAGCACACACGGCAGCCCTTGCTGATGCTATTTGGGCTATGACTATGGAAAGCTCAGATCTCACAGCTCCTCAAGGAGAGCTCCAATTTGTTCTGGATGGCGTTGCACTCATTCACCGAATCCGTTGTCCGCAAGGGTGTACCCGAAATGTATGTGCGTTGTACTGCAATTATGTGCACCAGAAGTGTGGAAAAGCAATCATTGTCTTTGATGGAGACACAAGCACATCCACAAAGAGCATGACACAGGAAAAACGTACAGGCGGGAAAGTAGGTGCAACCGTCACATTTACTGACGACATGAAACTTACAGTGAAAAAGGCTCATTTTCAGGCAAACAAAACAATAAACAGTCCTTCATTAATATACTTAGTCGTTATCTTCAGCAGGGCATTTGAAAAGTCTACCACTCGACAGCTGATGCTGATTTGCTCATAGTAAATACAGCTGTGGAAAGTTCAAGAACCATGGACACCGTGCTGGTAGGGGATGACACTTATCTTCTTATTCTTCTCTGTTATGATGCAGAGTTAGATGTATTCGACCGTTTTTTCCAACCGGAACCAAGAGCAAATTCCAGTAAGCGTCGATCCTGGAATGTAAAGTCAGTGAAGGAAAAGCTTGGCCAAGAGATTTGTCGTCATATTCTTTTTATCCATGCTATTAGTGGATGTGACACGACCTCTCGATTGTATGGAATTGCAAAGGTCTTCCACTAAAGAAGTTTGTCAGCGACACCCACTTTCGTGAACACGTCAAGGTGTTTGACAGTCTTCCAGCGTCAAAGGAAGAAATTGTTAAGGCTGGTGAAGGACTTGATGGATTGCGATTTCGTCGCTATTGTGAAAAGGTGTCCACTGGTACTTTCCAGATTCAGCCACAAAGCCTAACTCCTACTTCTACTGCTGCGTCATACCACAGCATGAGAGTCTACCACCAATTTATCCAGTGGAAGGGCAAAGAGAAACAAGTAACTGCTGAAGAATGGGGTTGGAGATTGAATGATGATGGCCAACTGGTACATATCATGACCCACCTTCAGCCAGCACCAGAAGCTTTGTTGCGACTGCTTGTCTGATTGTAGTAGCATGCGATGCATATGTAAAAAACATGATCTTGAGTGTTCAGCTGCGTGTGGACACTGTACATGTAGAGGCACTAGTTGCACTAATGCTGCAGCACTCGATTTCGACGAAGATTTAGATGAAGATGAAAATGATTGAAGGTCCAAAGTTTTTTTGACTGTTGCAAATTTGCTTATCAAAGTTGCGATAAGAAAAAACTAATTCATCACTCAAAATAGCGTTTTTTCTATCGCAAATAGAATTCAGCCTCGTTTTCATGTAACTGATTAAGGCCATTATAATTGAACTGAATTTAAGTGTCTTCCCATGCATAGATTTTCCTAGACTTTTAATATGCATATTAAGAGTCTTTCTTATTTCAAAACTGAAGAAAAAACTTCTGTTGCAATTAGTGACAGGTCCTATCAGTACGTTGACTGGACTATAGCGCTATTCAACGTTTGAACAATGGGGGCCTTTTTTGCAATGTAAATGAAGTGTGTTTACAGTTTTTTCAGACTTCTATGCGGTCACTTGCTAGTAAAAAAAAAGACCTTACGATAAAGTGCCAAGTACATAGGATGTCTTTTTTAAATGGTGATCCAATGTCGACCAATGCCAGCAACGAAAAAAGACATGTCTGCTGTCATATGGTCAAACTTTTCTTTTAGAATCCGATTAACATATTGCTGGTGTAGGTAGCACCTGTCTTTTTGGGTCTCAATCCTGAGCTCGTTCTGAGCAGTATATTGCGTTGATCTTCCTAGTTCAGTATCCTGCGATAAATTTCCACCGGCGGGTGTTTGTAAGGCGGTCTACCAAGAGTGGGAAGTGTGCTACTAAGAGGTTGAATTTCTTATTTTCTACGACTTTTAAGAAGGAAATCTATAACATATGCAAATTAAGAAAAACCTTGATAACTTAATATCCTGGCTAGTTGAAATGTTACCGCCCTTACTGAAAACTAAACATCGATAATCGTAAAGGACGACCCGTCGTAAACTTGTGCACGCACTAATAATGCAAAAAAAAGCTAAACAAAGAGCTTTAAAACCGAACAAAAGAGCCACGATTATTAGCCAAATGAATTGAGCTGCCGGCTCAAAATGATATACGTTTATTTGTAATCATCTGTAAATTGCTGGGTACAGAAAAATTGTTTTTGAAATAGTACATTTAACTAAAGAAACAGCTGTAAACTGATCCGTAGTTTGCTGCTGTTTCTATAAATAGTGTATAAACAACTTGGGAAGTCACAGGCCATTTTTGCCCGACCAAATATGTTTCTCCTAACATGATCTTGTGTTCTATGATGTATTTTCCCACATACATGCATTAATATTGGAAAGGAGCAAATGTACATTTTATACTACTTTAGAAACTGTTGATAAAACATTGTTAACTGACCTACACATCGAAAACACAGGTGCAAGCAAAGGAAGGCCGGAATCAGGAAGAGAAACCCGTCAGGCGCCTTCACCTCAGAAATCAATTTAATCGGTTTCAAACGTCACAACTCATTATTAAAAACGGTTTATGCCTTAACTGTCTGCATCATTAACTTAATTCCGTGCTGCTTATTCAGTGATAATTAAGAAAAGGAAACCAGTGGCTGCCGGGAATTGAGCAAAAGTTTTTTTACAAAAACATTTTCAGCAAATGGGGGTGTAGATCATGTACTGAAACGGTGCTTTTTACCTGAGGACTTCTGAATCAAACACGTACGGGGGGACTTCCTTGACTTCATGTGCCTGTCGCAAACTGAAGTTGGCTTCATTTTCAGATCAGTCAGCCATAACAGGACTTGTGAGTGAAGGTAAGAAACGACCCTAGTAAGCCGGGAAATCGATGAGACATCCAACAAAATATTAGGCGGCGGTATAATTAGAAACCGTGATGTGAACAACTACGATAAAACTTAGAAAACCCTTAAATAATTTTCCAGCGGGCAGCAGAGTTCTCGGATCGTGAAGTTATTTAGTTGCTGAACAGTTTTTAAACACGTGAATTCTCTCCTTCTGTAAGAGATGCTTACATTAGCCATCTAGAAGTCAATAGACATGCACTTACGACGTAAGCATGAAAGCGATGCCTAAGCGCCACATCGCAGTTAAATGTGGCATCCCGCACCAAATCAAGTGTATTTTAAAACTGTTTGTGAAGTAGTTTAAAGCTATTTAAACTATTTGAGAACTATTTTTACCACAATTTGAGGTATTTTTATTATATTTCACGACTAAAACCAAAATAGCGTTAAAAGTTTGAATTGTATTTGACATCTATTTGAATAATATTTATAACATTTTCCCCGGTTTTCCTTGTATTTGAAATATATTTGCTATCAAAACTACATTTTAAATACAGTATTTAAACTATATTTTCGGAAAGAGAGTACTGGCGAGTTGCTAAAATCTTTTTAAATACCGTATTTAAACTGCATTTTGGAAAGAAGAACCTAAAATCAAAGATTTAAAAAGTAGTTTTTACAAGTAAAGTTCAAAATCAGGTTTTAATTAGGATGTTTAAAGACTATTTTGAATATACTTCCTCGTCTACGACCTTAAACAGCTCATAAATAGCATAGTTAAAACATGTTTGAAGAAGGTTTAAGAGGCAGTTCAATTTAAATTGTGATTTGAAATGACGAACATCTTGAAATCTCTCCAAGCAGGATTAAAACTAGCTGTTTTTATTGTATTTTCACAAACTATCCTTATTTAAAAGGTATTTAAATGGAAACCTGTTTCCAAACCTAACTTAAACAGGCTGTTTATAGGGTGTTTTGAAAAAAAACGGCTGTCTTATGGTAAGAAATATACTTCAAAGGAAAAAAAGTCAACCAAATTTATTTTCAAACAGATTTTAAATGCTGTTTTCGGGGTATTTTTAAAAATTGATACCCGCAGTCACGGACTTGAAAAACAAAATGCAATAGACATGCAGACACAGTCTGCCAAAAGAAATAAGAACTCGTCGTCTAGACACAGCCCATTCTACAAAGGCATATAGATAAGCCATATCTCGACAGAAGTGTTTCGTCGTCAACCCAAAAAAAAATGATGGGAATTCTCAATTCTGGACACATCCGATTTCTAATCATGCGCGTACTTAATAAGTAACCAGTAAGTATAAACGCCACAAAATTATTAAGCCTAAATCCGCTAACAAACCAAGACATTGAGCTGCCATACAGTTGGGAGGTAATGTATCTTCCAACAAAAACGAACAATCAGCCTTAAACTTCATCAGTCAAATAAAGTATCGAAATATGCATGCATTTCGAGCACATCGACCGGTTTGATAACGCGCGTTGTGTCAAAGTGTGTGACAGTGTAAAGATCTATCGATCCCCAATCATTATTCATCGAATCTCTCTGTGTATATCTCTACACAGCCAGATTTTAAATCAATCATTGATCAGTTACTAAGTTTTGAAACTTCCAAAATTCGCATCAACCATAACGTAACATTACCATGCAGTGTAATCTAAATACTGTATTATAAAAAAAATCTAATCGATTTTGAGACAGAACCGCAGTTACGGTGAACAAAGATAAAATAAGCCCTGAACAAAATTATATAAATAAACGCTCACCTCCCGTGTTGCATGAAGAACCAAACGCTCAAGAAATTTCCCCACATCGTTATCCTACGTTTATAAATCATGCTGGATGAATAAAATTTGCTCGACTTTAATAGCACGCGCCCGGGGACTTCCCGCGGAATAGAGTCACGTGGTAAAACCACGTGCTAAGGAACAAAGCATCTATGTATTTTAAAATTATGGCGGACGGCTGTTGATGGTTGCAACGTGCGTTGCGTTGCTCTTTACTGCGCAAAACGAGTACTTGTCAACTCTGTGGACTGTCCAGACGCGCAGATTTTGTTTTAATCACGAATCAAAATGTCTCCGAGTTGTCAGCGACTGGCTTTTACTGTTAAAGGAACGGATCTAAGTTCAACTGGTGGATACACGTACTGTACCGGTGTTTGAGTCTTCGCGATGCGAATAAATGTGAGTACGATTGTTCCTTATTTTAGAATAATCTGTTATTTTTATTGGAACGTCTAGGCATACGTGTTATGAAAAGGACAGTTGGATATCTGGCCTTTCGAAGAGCGCTGTCAATTAATTTATTACCAAGAGCCATTTTGGATTTGTTTATATGCAGTGTTTGCATACCGGTCGTTTTGATACAAAGTAATTTCGATACACCAGGCGATGCAACTCGTTCAGATACAAATTGACTCAGTCGAGATGTACAACCAATAGTTCGCGACATTTGTTTTTCTTGCTCACGTGCAATAATTATACATCAGGTAATCGCAATATTTTTGCAGTTTCACTGCTTAAGTTCGTATCGAAATGACTCTTTTCAGCTCCATTACAGTTAATTGATCGCAGATTACATTCTTGCTCTCACGCCAAATGTGTCACGTTAAGATTAAGCTTTGTGTCCGTCCTCTTTCGCTCACACATAGCAATACCAACCACAAAACCAATAGTGAATGCTCTGGCTCAGGCCTTGCAAGCTTCATGATGATTTTAGTGGAATCAAATATTATTGTGTTACGTCTTGCGAGAATGAATGTATGTATAGTTGGCAAGTAAAATTCAATAATGAAATTATATATTATAGACATTTAACTTATTATGTTGACTCAGTTAAGCCTAAAATGGTTATTTTTCTGCTTGGGAATTCCTAAAAAGTTTCAGGAAGATGATATTTTGACATTTCGTTTGTTACATGTAAACAATCAGGACCTTATACATACACTCACATGTACAGCTGGTTCATTAAAGGTTGCTTTGGGCATCGGGAATTGAGTAATAGTAAGCTATTGTTTGGTGGTGACTCAGGGAAATCATATTGCATTGTTTGGTATGCCCAAATGCCCAATAACCAACCTTTACTTAATCAGCTATATACAGTGTAGCTTCTGGAGAAGC